ATCACTAGATCAAAGTCGAGTTTAAGTGATAGATTTGTAAGCGTAGTATTTTGAAATGCATGATTTAAGTAATAGTGACGCTAGAACTAGTAAAGGCAAAATACAATTTAAAAGTTACACAAGTGCAGCCACCAATGAACGCCTCCCCAACCCTCTGTGATTTCCACATCGCGCTCAACCCTGGTCGCCAAATGGCAGAGATACCTGAACTGATACAAATTGCGAGCTATCAACTGTTATGCAGAGGGTTGAGTTGGTTCCGAGTGGAAAATCGCGTTCAAATCCGGTTACCGTGTGCGAGAATCGCGTTCAAATCCGTTTTATTCGAAGCTTCTCGACCAGATGTTGGCACAGATTTCTGCGCTGAGGTTTTGTTAAGTGATATGATAAAGCTAGATGTGTGATCATCGATAAAATTCAGAATGACAATATTGATTTTCTTTTTGTTCTCCTCTGAAAGTTCACTTATCCACTGCATTACTCGTGGAGAAGTGTTCTCCGAGAACTTCTGAAGCGACGAACACCAGCTGCCAACCTGAAATGTACCAGTTACTAAATGAAGGACTAAATGCTGCACATGTTTTGGCACCTCTTTGTTGTAGCAAGTGCTTTATCACAGCATCCATCTCGCCCCACGTGGGCGTGAATGCCGGGTTCGCCCATTCTCGCCCGAGATCGTGTCTTTTGCACATACAGTCCTCATCATTGCGGACCGGTGAGGCGTGTCAGCCAGTATGAGTGTGCACACTGTTGAAGCCGTTCTCAGCCTTTTTGTTGAAACGCGTATGCGACAAAAAGTTAAATGTCACTTGCGCCGCTTTAACAACTGGCCGTTGCAGAATGACTTGGCACCGCCCGCCAAACGCAGTCGCACAAATAAAAGAAAAACGCCCCCCCACCGAGTCCGCAACTGATGAGGACTGTAACTCAGCATTCTTGCTGATAATAGGAGAAAGAAGGAAAGAAAGAGATGCGATCTATGCCATAAGGAACCCTTTTCAGGATTTACCGACCACGCATTGCTACTTCGACTCAGAATCATAGTGCGCACCCTTATTGAATGCAACGTGGCCTATACCTGGCTGACTTGCGGGGCTCGCCGATGTAGAAGCCAGTATTTCATTCTCGCATGCGAATCTGGTATGAATTTGCCGTCCCCAGGGATGAATGGCTTGATTAGCCTGGGCGGGAGCTTGTTGTCCGGAAGTTCATACCCGGACTACGAGTGTTCCTAGCGTGCTACTTGCCACTACGTCACCTCCGCTTCACACCAACTTCAGTGAAGGTACTCTTGGGATATCTACAGTGCAAGCCTGACAATTATGAAAAAAGCAAGGCGCGGCCCGCAAACAAAAATTTCCACGTATCATTTGCCCCCGTCGCGCGCGTGAATTGTTTAGAAACTGACCTACCGTTACCGTCACAACTTTGGCGCTAGACACCACTCCTCTATGGCCAATATTTGGGCAGAGACTGCTTTGCCTTTCCGCCGAAAAAGCTGGCTAACTTAAGCTTCGATGTAAGATAGCGAACATAACTGGCGCCGAATTAGCCCAGATGTAATGTGAATGTTTTCAGCCACTTTTGCAATTCTGGGCTTTCAACAGTTAGGTTGCCCTTTTTCCGAGGACTTCAATAACGATTCTTCCAACGCCTTATCAGTTCTCTACCTTGTTCGCGTAGAAAGTTGATGTTGAGAAGCAAAAAGCAGCAGCTCCCGTGGAACCGCTTCACGCAGCGACATTTACGCTCTAGTCTTTCAAATGGGGGGGGGTCGTGTCTACAGAATAAGTTGTCTACAGCTGTACCTTCAGTGGACAAGTTGCCAGCTCAGGTGCGTTTCGATCCTACAGAAGGATAGCTAATGTTGCACAGAAAAAGATCTGTATATCGGACGGCAACCTATAGCCATTGAATACGTGCGGCCGTTAAAAGAGTCATCATCCCTCCCTTCTTGTTCTCAAAATTCGGGTAAATCATCCAAATAGCCTTAACAACTCACCACATCCTTGCCCTGCGGTGTGAGAACACCCTGAGACACGAAAAACTCTTTTGATTTCTCCGAACGTGACTCCAAATCATGCTGCAGATTTTTTATCAAGACATCCATATTTGAAGTGTCCGGCCACGGTGATAGAATTGAAGATGAGGGCCAAAGCAAAGGCGAAATCCTCTGTTCGGACGGAAAAATAACAATCACTCTGGAAACATAAAAAAGTGTTACTGCAGGCAAAATATCAATTGGAAAAACGGGACTAAGATATAATCCTTATCCCCGAGACGGAGGCAGGCGCTGGATTCGCAACATTGCGCAGGTATTGGCACTCTTACGTATTTCTGATTGATACGTCTGCCTAAATTTTTTTTAAAAATTCTGTGTTGCGACAACAGACATGATCTACTACCTGTCCATTTATATTACTACTGTCCTAATATGAAAATATCTCACAGAAAGATTAGTCTCCACGTTCAACCCAAGTACGAGCCACGCCTACCGCATCTCAGGGACTTCGAGTGTAGTTGGGGAGTGGGATGGAGCTCTGTGTTATGCCACATCATATCCACATGTCCCACCCTTTCACCCAATATCAGAGTGATTTTATACCCACAATGGGTTCGGAAATTCGGAAAAAAGCGGCAAGACAAGGCAAAAAGTGGTGGGGCGTAGTCGTGCCCTCGTTTGTCCCCTATCCTTGCCCTCAAAAAACTGGAAATATTGCAAATAATGTAAAATTGAAGCAATTGTGAAGGTAATTATTACGACCAAATACTTGGGTCTCAAGCGCTGTTTCCTAGCCGCGGGATCGGGGCGCACTAACAGGGTATTTCCTACTTAGTTGACTAGATCGTCACAGGGACAGAGAGAGATAGTCGACTTGAGAGACGCAGGCGCAGAGAATGTCAAAGGAACTCACGAACCGTAGCACTGCTACGTTGACTGAATTGGGTCCTGATGCGAATGCTGTTTGCACCGCCCGCTCGCAAAGCCTACTCTGTGGCACTCACCGCGATTGGGAAGCAAAACTCCACATCCATAAAGTTGATATCCGGGAGGAAAGACAGGAAAAAATGAGAAAATGATATCCAAGATGTCCTACCTGTAATCGGAGTTCCATATTTCATTTAGAGTAATCGTGCTGAAGTCTTTGGTATAGGGGCACAAGCGATGGCACAAGCCATTTTCTCCTCTTTTGCGAGAATAGTTAACCCCGATCCATCTATGCCATACAAATGGTTAATATCGATTAGCACGACCTGAAAAGATCAGCTCAGTACGTGCCCAAAGAGGATACTGTTTGGGTATTCATTAGGCTGCGTTTATACTTTGCGGTACGAATGGCGAACGCTTCCGCAAAGTATAAACGCAGCCTTACACAGGTTTGGACACCCGAACAGACTGGGAGGCGTTGCACTAGATCAGCGATTTCGGGAATATTGGCGTATTGACCACCTGTTGGTGGAGTTACGTATCGTATTCGATGTAACACTCTTTAGGAGCCAATCAGTCCGTCAAATCCTCATCGTTGAACACTTGGAGGTATACTCCGTATCCCAGAGATGAAGTAGGCGTGGCATTTGAGCATGGCACAGAATGTGTCACTCGTGCGATATTTCAGTTTGAGACAGCTGTCGTCTTGCTCTGTATTGTATAGAGACACGACCACAATTGTGTCAAAATGGAAATATTTCTCCAAAAGCACGGTAACGACCACCATTTAGTTGGAAAAGCGGGCAGGCCGGCGCCTTACCCCCTCTCTGGGATTTCGAGTGTACATTCCGCGCTAATCGTATGGTCGGGCTCGCATAGAACATTGCTTACTCCTCAATGCTGAGCTCCACTTCTGCTGGTGAGCCATTTTTGAAAGAGGAGCACAATAATAAGAGGGGTACAAGTAAGCAAACACGCATTCAGCTGTTAACAACCAGAAGCAGGAAAGCCTAGCAGTAGCGCGTTTGGCTATGGTTGAGGTGTAGCTGGCGGTGCGGCACCCGAGTACCACTACTCTCAGCCTCATTCCAGTGCCTCTCGAGCGAAGAATGCGCGCTTCGATGGCTGCGGATCCTTTCCCCCACAGACAAGACAGGCAGAAAAGGATTGGGATCCTGTGTGCAGTTTCTTGAACAAATAGCGAAGCTGTGCCACCTCTGCGCCTTCAATTTGGTTCTCTTTCATGTCTGTTTCTTCACATTCCTATATGGGCACTCCATTGTTTTGCTGTCGCTGTCAGCCGCTAGGCCCTCTACTTAACTTACCTCTTTTTCGTTTTCTTTCAAGAAGTCTACGACTTGTGATAGGCACTGCTCTAAAGTCATACCATACAATCCATGGACAAGACGAAAATCCTGAAAGTCACGGTTCACCCATCAAGTTTTATAGGAAAAGAGGCCCATTTCATTAGGGGCATTTTGCTGTTCCAGCTTTTTGCTTGCCAGGTATCGTCACCTTTCACAGAGACCCGAAAAGCCCTTGTAAGCTTACAAATAGCCGTCGAAATTCACTGTGTAATCTATAACTTTTAACAAGGCTTCACATATCTCCATGCCAAAGAGAACCTGCAAATTGTCGCCTCCAAGGTTGGTTTTCAACACATTCAAACCGCTTCACGATATTTGGCAGAAATTGCTGTCTAGCGTTCCCCCATCGTTCAACTCTAGTAAACGGAAGGAAGCTGCGTTCGTACCTTTTGCCAGAGATGCGTGAAAAGGGGGCGGTGCACTTTGCCGCATTTCTACTTGAGCAGGGATAGATCAGTCGACTGGTCACATCTACAGTCGCTATCACTGAGTCAGTGGAGGCGTGTCAGCGGAGCGTGGGTTAGCAGCTCTTTTCCTACCTCTCCCTGAATGTCCGAAGCAGCAACGAAGGATGAAAAACGAGTCGGTGCTGTGCCAAAACCCGCGGTTCACATGCCTTGATTAATTTCTGTGATAACCTTATCCCAGATACTTCAATCTTCTGGTGTGGGAGATGAGAGGGCGGGTCAGAATTGCCGGGTTTGCTAAGCGATATTCCTGCTATGAGAAGCGAGTCTGCAAATCGATACGTTATTATACTTTTCGCAAAAGGGCTAGTGTCCAAAAAAAAAAAACTGGAAGCAGTCTGAAAAGGGGGGGGGGGGGGGGGCGTCGATTCCACCCCCCCCCCCCGAAAGGTCGGATCTCCCAACTTTCAGTTAGGCGAAGTCACTTGATACCTATTTTTCTTTTCAGCGCAGCCGGTGGAAGCGCCGAGTCGTTGAAACCGTAAAGTTCCCGGAGGTGCCCAGATATGAAAGCGGCCTCACAATTTTCCTGGGACAGTTAGGGAAGAAATTGGTAAATACGAATATTAAAACCGTTAGCGGAAGTGCGCAACTTTTGTGGAGGAGGTAGCAACCGTAGGATCAAGATAGGCGAAGCTCTCCATGTTCGAGCTGTTTCGCGTTGAGTACCGTGCAAACTTGTCAGATTATTCACAGCGAGCCAATAAAAATAATTCTATCTGCAAACAAATGCCTAATTTGCTTTCGCAACTTCAATACGCAGTCTCCGACACACAGCGACGCCTTGTCGCTGGATCGTGTCAATGGGGCTGAATTTGGAGCGCCGCTAGCCAGATTTTCATCAACTGTAGTCGGGTTTCAGCTTCCTAATTGGTGGAGGACGGATTGGGGCCGCGTCGAACCCAAACGCCGAAGGCGCCCTTGCGTATCGCATGCGACAAGGATTGTAAGTATTGCTAAGTTCCGTTTCAAAGACACGTGCGAAACAGAAAGCAAGCCATTCCTTTGCGTTCATATCCCACCCTCTTGGAATTGCGCCAAATTCCATTATGTTTTCCTGTTTTTTTCCAGACGCTGGGACGTGTCATGGGTTGTGTTTAGCATGGCGCCACTCAATTTCCACCAATTGCTGCCGCTAGCCCCGTGCAACAGTTGATGAAGAATGGGCTGGCCCCCGCGCGCAATTCAGCTTCAGATCCTGCTGGAATCGATCGTACACGCTTCGCTGAGCACCTCTTTTTGCTCTTACCAATCCGAAAAGCGCAAAAAATCAAATAACTGTGGGAATAATTGAATTAACAAACCTTTGGCAAACACCCCATCTTTTGACACCAGGTTTGACGAAACAAACTTTTCCTAGCCGCTTAACAGAACCAGGTACATCAGGTGCCATCGGGAGCTTGGGATTGAGCTCTGGCGTCGCTCCCGAATCGTGTGAGCCTGAAAAAAATTGAAATGGGTATCAGCCGGTACAATGAAAAAATTCAATCTGTAGCTATTCAAAATAGGCTAGAAAAACAGCTGCCCCGTAAATGTATGAAAAGTTGCTCAAAGGGGCCCGAACAAGTAAGGTTAGTGGCATGGCACAAGATGTTTGAGGCACAGCTGTTTGAAGTATCCTCCACGAAGGATGGGGTGTATAGCGAAGTGGACTGCGTCGAAGGCGATAGGCGTCTGTCAGACGCAGCTGGCACTGCACTTCAGTTCACCATGACCAGGGCGCGGGGGCGGCCCGGGCCCTCTATACTTTTGGTTAAACTGCCGCAATATGACTCGGACCTAGTGCTTGAGCAGATGCGCTCGGGCATTCAAGCGCACACATGGATCAACTACCGTACATTCCTGAATCTAGAGCAGCCTAGACACCAGAAGATCAGACGATTCTAAGCGACAGATAGTTCTCGGGGAGGGAGATACACATGCTCTGCAAGAGGGACATACTCAGCGCTACTCAGGCGAGGCTAAGGTTATAAAGTCTCCTTCTACGGTAATACAGGACCATCGCGCCACGGGCGCCGGCGCCAAAATGCCCCAGAGCGGGTGCAGGCAAAGGGGTCGCATTTGACTGCGAGGGAGGGAGGTCGTATTTGCTCGTTATTTAGGAACGAGGAGAGCCGTATTTGTTCATTGAGGGGAATTAGCGTGGGAGAAAAATTTTCCTCAGTTGTTCAGGGTTCGCTGAGTATTTCTACGTCTCTATTCACTGCTTGCTCGTGTGAAGAATTAGGGAAAGGGGGTGAAATAAAAGAAGTGGAGGAAAAAGAGTCGTCCTGAATCCAATAATCGGGGCCTATCTGAGCTTTTTCAACGGTTTTTCTAATCTTCTGGCACTATTCAACTATTACTACCCCAGTTTTCCGAAAACGGGCTGGATCTGATCGACTTTTTTCTGCGGAGGGCAGATTTGGCTGAAAGTTGGGTTCTAGGGGTAATTCGACCTGCTACCGCAATACACTGGCGCCTGTGGCGCGGCTGGGCGGGGGGCGCCATGCACTATTCGTGCTCAAGAGGTCGAATTACCTCTATAACCCGAATTTCAGCCAAATCCGCTTTCGTAGAAAAAAGTCGATCAAGATCCGCCCTGTTTTGGCAAAACTGGGGTAGTAATAGTTGAATAGTGCCCTTCTATTCACAGATCTGCCACCACCACCTACAGACTCACACATAAACCCCACTACCCACACCTTTCTGCCCGTAACCACGTGTGGCCTTTAAAGACAGCGCCCGCGATGGACTTTGGCAGGTCTCAGGGGTCAAATTTGTTAGAACAGGTGGCCAATGAAGCACTAATCAAAAAAAGTAGGAAAAAGGTGTGGAAGAGCGTGAAATAAGACCCTACGAAATTTAAGGCATGTGGACGAGTTTCGCAGACCTTTGGTGAGTTCTCCAATACACGTCGCGGCCTCGGAACTCCAGAAACTTAGCGTTTATCAATGCCAGCAAGCACTGATAACTGTTAACCAGTCGGGGCGGGATTAACAGGAAAGGAGGCGTCAGCTCAGCCTTGTTGACTCCGCCCTCGTCAACCAATCGATTTCGAGCCGCAAGAGTGGGATTTCCGCTGTGGTTGCGTACTCCGCGTTCGTTTTCATTGGAGGGTTTTTTCACTTTGGTTGATCGCGGACGCTGCCTTTAATGCTATCTCTTGTTCGCTGGGGATGAAGGGACGTGCCAGTGAGGCTGTGTTTGGCGCGCCGCCCGCCCGTTCTCCTCTCCATCGGTGTTGAGGAAGGTAAGCGACATCAACTAGTGGTGAAATGACTGGTACGTGCGACAGGATACAGTCTTGCCGCTTGTCGAAAAAAAATAAAAACAGGCGAGCGGCTGACCCTCCCTCCCTTGACACTCACATATCCATAGCGAACAAGACTGCACCTACTCACCAGGAATTTTGAGTAGACGTAGGGGCTGGTCGGCTATTTCGGGTGGCAAATCGGCCATCCATGTTTTGAGTGACGTCATACTCCCATGACCCGTACTGCCATTAAAATTGCTAAACTATTCAACTATGAATAAACTCATGCAGTCATAAGAAAGGCATATTGGAGATCGGTAGTCAGCGGATAGGAAAAACACAAGGCTTATAGCTTAACAAGCTTGACAAACTATTTTATGTATATATATCTATATCTATATTATTATTCTTATTCTGAGTACGAATTTCATTCATAAATTCATGCTAACACATTTGATATGTTAGGTTATACAGTATACAGTCAAAATAGATGGAATCATCATCAAAACAAGAATTCAGCAAAAAAGCGGCCCGATGTAAAAGCAAAAGCGCTGTTTGGGCTGATAGGAACATGACAAATAAAGCGAGAAATTTCTCCCGAAAGCAGCGTTGAACGTATTTCTGTACGAGGAAAAGTGTAATGTGAACAGAACCTGGCGCTAGGCAGAGGGGTGGGTGGAAGCGCGTCCCATCTGCGCTCTGGCTAGTCTTGTTCGCGCGACTGAATGGGGATGTGTCGTGAGGCAGAGGATTCGGGCGAGCCTGCAGCCGTTTCTTCACCAGTTGTTGAAGCGGACGAGCGACACGAATGGAAGGAAAAAAAGGGAAGAGAAAGGGGTAGCGCTTCGAAAAACCCATTCCCTGACACGCCCTATCACCCGCAGCGAACACTGTGAGTCTGCATGCGAATGCCGGCACAGCCTTCCGCCTAATGTGCCTCGAAACATGGTCACAGTTTTCTTGCCGGTATTAGGAATCGCCAAGGGGAGCGAGCGCTCTCGTTGTCCATCCCAATGTGAGAGGAAGGAAAAAAAGCAAATGGCCGAAAATCGCACCTATAACATGATATGCGAAGGAAAGAAAACTTAAGAAGGAGCTATTCATACTTCCAAAATGGTGCTAAGTGAGCTAGAAGGGGTGGAAGGACGGAAACGAGCAAAAAGAACTTGCTGCTGGGACTTCTCTCTTTTTACTCCCGCCCTTTCCCAGACTCTCTGTACACCCTTTTTTTTTTTTTTTTTTTTTTTTTTTTTGGAAAAAAGATGCAGCAAGTCTGGTAACGTTTAGAGTAACAAAGCTCTATGAAAAACTATGATCATTATGGTATTGATTTCTACAACGAATTTTTTAAAGCTGTTAGAGTTACTTAAAATGGAACAGCACTTTTAGTAAAGTTATACGCTGGGCTTTAACTGATGGGCTCTTTATTGGGAACAGGTCGTGGCATTTGAACTTTCGGTCGTATACGTCCACGTGGTGCTTCTCGATATTCGGCCACAAAACCTTTCTCCTCTTCGGAATCGTCCGTGTGCAGAATGAGAAGTAAATCAGGCCCTGAAAAACAACTTTTCTTGAACGACCACAGTACCTGATGGGATAGAGTGAGCTTCAGTTTAGGGTTTTTGTCTGCGGCAGAGCTTACGAGAGTAGAGGAGGACCAAAGGCACACTTCGCGATGACAGGATGGGCGGAGAAAAGGGAGCAAACTCACAACTTTAATGTCAACTTCATCGGCTCGCCCCGCTCTCTATATTATCAGAAGACGAGCACTTGTGGAGAACACAACGGTTGTGGGGCTCCGCCTCTCCGATCATCACGGATCGTGCCTTCAGGTACGTCACCAGTACAATCAATGAACGGCACTGTACATGCAAACACTGCCTTTACATTTGTGTTGTTCATCGATGAGATACTCAGGAGATAGAGCCTAGCCATCAGCACGATAATTTACTGGAAATCACAACTGAACGGCAAAAAAGAGAGGCTGTGACGTGATTCGAACGCGAGCAACGTCGTAAGAATTCATGCATTCTCGTAATTTTGCACGCTATTGCGCTTCTTGATCAGAGATGCGGAAATAATGGCGTACCCGGGCCGGATCCAGTTCAAGGGTACGTCCCACGATCAGAAATGGTGAGTAGCGAAGCTCAAGTACTAATCACAAGGTGGTGAATAATTCAGTACTGGAGGAAAAGCTTCCGAAATGACCCCTGCGGATCCAAACGTGTACATACAAACAACAAAAAGAAGCTTTGCTTGGACGAGTTCTCACTAGTTAGTGTCTCGAGGACACCTGCTCCTTTCCATTGCTACTATACTCTCATCTTTCAAAGTGGAAAGAGCTGATAGCGCCATCAGAAAGAAATTAGAACTGAAGGTTGGACGTAGTATAGAGTGGCGGCGAGGTATTTCCTTCCTCATGTGGG